GGGAGTGCAGTGGAGGATGGCCCAAGTACTTGGGCCCTGCACCCCATGGGAGACCAGGAGAAGCACCTGGCTCCTGCCTTCAGATCAGCGCACCACGCCGGCCGTGGCGGCCATTGGAGGGTGAACCAACGGCAAAGGAAGACCTTTCTCTCTGTCTCTCTCACTGTCCACTCTGCCTGTAAAAGAAAAAAGTGTACAATTCAGTGGCTTTCAGTATATTCCCAACAGTTGTGCAAGCATCACCACAGTAGATTTTAGCACCATCCTATTTTCCTATTACCTCCCACTCTCCACTTCTCCTCCAGCCCCAGGCAGCCCCTGTCCCATTTGCTGCTTCTCTGGATTTGTTCCTCCTGAACATTTCTTACAAATAGAATTGTACAGCCTGCAGTTTGTGTGTATGACTGACATCTTCCACTTACCACGTTTCCAAGGTCCCTCCACGCTGTAGCATGCATCAGTACTTCAGTCATTTTTATGGCCAGGGTGGTGGATTTCACGTGGTAGGGTGGATTTCACACACACACACACACACACACACACACACACACAGAGACAGATAGACAGACAGGAGAAACTTTCCATCTACTGGTTCATGCCCCAGATGGTCACAATGGCCATTGCTGGGCCAGGTTGAAGCTCGGAGCTTCATCCAGGTCTCCCACATGGATGACAAGGGCCCAAGCATTTGGGCCATCTTCTTTTGCTTTTCTCATGCCATTAACAGGGAGCTGGATCAGAAGTGGAGCAGCCGGGACACAAACTGGCACCCATGTGGGATGCCGGCACTGCAGGCAGTGGCTTTATCAGCTATGCCACAGCACCAACCTAGGAGCAGACCACCTTTTGTTTAGCCACTCATTAGTCGGTGGGCATTTAGGCTGTTTTGACTTTCTGGCTATTGCTGAATGTTTGTCCACCTGTGTGGCCATGCGTTCATTTCTCTTGGATATGTACCTAGGAGCGGAATTGCTGGGTCTTGAGGTAACTACATGCTTAACTTTCTGAGGAGCTCTGAACTGTTTTCCACACTCCCACAAGCCATGTACAGTCAGCAGCTTCCACATCTGTGGGCTCCACATGCACAGATTTTACCAGCTGAAGATTGAAATATCTTTTTAGAAATCATGTCAGTACTGAATGTGTATAGATGTTTTCTTGTCATTACTCCCTAAAAAATACACCATGGTACCATTTTACATATCATTGTCATCACATTAGATATTGTAAGTTATCTGGAGAGGATTTAAAGGTATGGAAGGCTAGAAATAGGTTATTTACAGATGCCATGCCATTTCATGTAAAGGACTTGAGTATCCATGAATTTTGATATTTGCAGGGAGTCTTGGAACCAATCCCTCACAGACACTGGGGGATGACTATATCCAGTTTCCCCACGGTTTTCATATGCTAAACTTTGAATAGGGAAAGAATAATTTTTAAGCTTGATTTTCTAGTTCAGTAAACACTAGGAAAGAACTTTCTTCTACCACTTTAATTAACAGAGCTTCTGTTAGAATAAATACTCTTCGTCCACAAGGGATGTCTGTTTTGCATTGGAAAGACCCTTGGAGGAAGAGACGATTCATCTGTATTCAAATAAAAATACAGAGCCTGATTTTTTTCTAGTATTGTCATTACAACAATAAAGGTTTCTTAGGAAATACAAGTATGTATTGTTTTGCCGTGAATGAGGTGTTGCTATGTAAAGGTGGAGACAAAGTACAGGATTTCATATAAAAAGTGAGATTTTAAACAAGAAAATCAGAGTAAGGCCAAGTGACTTAGGAAAAATTTAGAAAGACTGGAAATAAGCCAGAAAAAGGAGGTAGAGCAGCACTGTTCTCCTACCAAGTATGGATGGGGAGACTGGGGCGGGGGAGGGGGGGGCTGTGCAGGGAAGCCAAGGGGGTGTTTGAAAAAGGGGGTAAGGAAAAAGGGGGGGACCCCTCTCCTCCCCGGGTTTTAAAGGGGCCAAGATTTTGGGGGTGGGATAAATGGGGGGGAAAGGAAAAAATTTCAAATTCGAAGGGGGGCCCAAGGCTGTTGAGGCACCCTGCGGTTAAATTTAAAAAGCCCTGGGGGGAGTCAAGTTCTACAAAGCACAGAGTGCCCATCACCTCAGCTTAATCCTCCCAAGTGCCTGTGTGTGTCCTCACTGCAGAGGAGCCAGAGGCGCGCAGAGGTTAAGGAATTGCTCAGGAGACCAGCGCTAATCAGGCCCGACTGAGCTTCGTCTGCCCTCATGGTTCCCCATCCACGTCAGAGCTTGTTTTCTTCACTTGCTTCCTCTGAATATGACAGTTAAAAGCATGTGAACCCCTCTTGTGGTTTTACTTTAAATGAAATCATTTTAAGTATTGAGCCAAAGGTATTCGATTCATAATTTTAAAATTAGCCATGATAATAATGTAATATGATATGCCAAGGGGTATACTGAGAGTTGAGACAGGATCCAGGACTTATACACCATGTTAAGAAGATGAAACTTTGGAGGAAGGCATTGTGGTACAGTGGGTAAAGCAATGCTAACATCCCATATGGGTGCCAGTTCGTGTCCCAGCTTCTCCACTTCCAACCCATCTCCTTGCTGATGACCTGGGAAAAGCAGCAGAGGATAGCCCCATCCCCCACTTGGGAGACCCATATGAAGCTCCTAGCTCCTGGCTCTGGCCCAGCTCAGCCCTAGCCGTTATGGCCATCTGGGAAGTGAACCAGCAAATGGAAGGCATTCTCTCTCTCCCTCTCAACTCTTACTTTCAAATAAATAAATAGATTTTTTTTTTAAAAAAATGAAACTTATTCCAGAGGCAGTGAGAAGTATTGACACTTATTTTTTTACTTTTCAAATTTTTAATTTTTTGATTGACATGAAATAATTGTACATATTCCTGGGTACAATGTGCTGTTTCATTGCATGCATAACTTGCGTGGTGATCAAATCAGGGCAATCAGCATATTCACTACCTCAGTTATCCCTTCTTTATGGTGGGAATATTAAAAATCCTCTGTTCTAGCTATTTTGGAATATATAATGTGCAAGTGCTGACTACAACCACACTACTGTGCAATAACCAGTACACCCTCCTTCTAATTGTCACTTTGTACCCCTCCATCCACCTCTGCCCAGTCCCCCATTGCCCTTAATCTTTGGAGTGATGTGGTCATATCTGTGCTTTGGAAACTTCCCTCTGACGTGAGGGGTTTGCATTGACAGAGGTGGGAGCAGAACAGGAGTGATAAAGACTAATGGAGACTGTGTTCAGATAGTCAAAGTGAGAGACAGGAAGGGTCTCAGGGCAGGGAAAATAGATACTGGGGCCGATAATCAAAGAAACATTAAGGAGTCACCAGCAGCTCTGGCTGTGGGAGATGGAGACAAAGCTGGAAGTGTGTGAGGCTCCAGGATCTCTGAGCATCACATGGCAAATGGAGACACAGGACTGTGGGGAGCAACTGAGACTAGACTAAGTTACTGGAATTAAGACTTATTCTATGCATCTGCTCTCCCACAATATGGCGCTGGGGAGGAGTAAACTTCTACGCAGCTGCCTCGCCAATTTGGCTGACGAGTGGCAGGAGCCGATCCTGCTCCTGATTGGAGGAGAGCAGCGTGCTCAGCGTGTGGGTAGCAGAGTTGGGATTGGTGGAAGAGGACTATAAAGGAAGACAGAGACAACATGCACCAGGAACATCTGAGGAACCCCTGAGAGCTGGCCAGCGGTGTGCCTGTGCCGTTCCTCCGCGGAAGTGGGGAAAGCAGCGGGGGGGTGCCGCCCCTCCACGGAGGTGGAGGGGTCGGCAGCTAACCCGGGACGGCGTCATTCCTCCACGAATGAGGGAACGGCAGCTAACCCGGGAAGGGCCGAGCAGACAAAAGAACAGCGCAGGGTCCTGTGTCGTTCCTCCGCGAATGGGGGAGCGACACAGGACTCCAGGACGGAGCCTCATAAAATGGAATTTGACAAGATTGAGGTTTCTTGAAGAAAAATGTTTCAATCTTTTCCACTTTTCCATTTTGGTTTTGCTTTACAGTCTTCATTCTGCTTTCTTTGTGTCAAAGCCATTTTATTTTTAAATTTCATGTATTTCCATTTTATTTGAAAGGGAGAGAGAGAGAGTGTGTGAGTGAGTTCTTCCATCCACTGGTTAACCCTCCAAATGTCCTCAAGCAGAAGCCAGCAGTCTAAAACACAATCTGGATCTCTTATATGGATTACAGGGACCCAGTGACTTAAGCCAAAACCTTCTGCCTCCTGGGGTGTGTATTAGCAGGAAGCTGTAATCAAAAATGGAGCTGGAGCAGGGGCCAGTGCTGGGACTTAGCGGGTAAAGCAGCCACCTGTGCCCCTGGCAGCCCATTTGGGTGCCGGTTCGAGTCCTGGCCACTCCACCTCCAATCTGGCTCTCTACTATGGCCTGGGAAAGCAGTGGAAGGTGGCCCAAGTCCTTGAGCCTCTGCACCTGCTGGGGAGATTTGGAGGAAGCTCCTTGTTCCTGGCAGCGGATTGGCCCAGCTCTGGTGTTGTAGCCATTTGGGGAATGAATCAACGGACGGAAGACCTCTGTCTCTCTCCCTCTCTGCCTCTACCTCTCTGTAATTCTGCTTTTCAAATAAATAAATCTTAAAAAAAAAAAGAAAGAAATGGAGCTGGGACTTGAACTCAGTCACTTCAATACAGGACTAGGGCATCCCAAGCAGTGTCTTAACTGCCATACCACACTTCTGCCACCAAAGCCATCTTCATCTTTCAGATCTATTACTATTATTATTGTTGTTGTTGTTGTTTTGCAGAAACAATTCTAGCAGTTTTCATACTTCAAACTTTACACAAAACCCATTCGTGTCTCTCTGGGTCTTTCAAACAGGCGGCATCTTGGTGCAGGTGCCCAGTCCCTTCGCGATTGTCCAAAGGCTTGCAAATGCACATTGCTCAGGGTGGTCAAGGCTTTCACCAGAGCACTCATGTCCGCTTGGTGGCTCCCTCTTGTGATTCCAGGCTGCCCTGGCCGGAGGCACCACCATGATCATCGATTTTGCCATTCCTCAGAAAGGAGGCTCCCTGATCGAGGCCTTCGAGACCTGGCGCGGCTGGGCTGACCCCAAAGTCTGCTGTGACTACAGTCTTCACGTGGCGGTGACGTGGTGGAGTGACCAGGTAAGGCGCTGCAGCTCCGCTTTGTTCTACTTGGTGGCCTGCTCCTTGCCCTGCACAAACGGATGCTGTGGAAACCCAAGAACCCGGTGACACTGGTTGCTTTCCAGTGACAGGAAGTCAGTGGTGCAGGGAAGAGTGCCCATTGCACAGTCTGGTTCTTTTTTAAATTTTGAACCCAGTGAAACAAATCACATGACGATAAGTCATTTATGCTTATTCACAACATCTCTCCTGATCTTTAATCTGCGAATTACAGATGCTTTAAATATAATTTTTAAAATGTGTGTATTTATGTATTCGAGAGAGACAGGGCATGTTTCCATTCACTGGTTCACTTTCCAAATGCCCACAACAGCCAACCCTGGGAGCACAGTCCAGGTCTCCCAGGTGGGTGGCAGGAACCCAGCTACTTAGCCCTTACCTGCTGCCTCCCGGAATCTGCACCAGCAGGAAACTGGAGGAGGGGGTGGAGGAGCCCTGAGTAGGATTTGAGTGTCTTAACTGCCAAGCCAGATGCCTGCCCCTTAATGTAATTTAAAAGTGCTGGTTTCTCTTTTTCTCAGCTTTGACATCCTGAGAACCTTTAAAAAGAATATTTCCCCATAGATGAGAAATTCGTCAGAAATGTTTCATTTCTGGAGAACAGTCAATCTCGATGCCTCTACCCACATTCCCGACCCTTCTTGGGAGAAAAAGGGACAAAAGCTCCGGCCTCCCCAGCTGCCTCCTGACTCAGGGCTCTTCCTGCACTGCTCTGCTGACGTTATCCCTGGTAGGCACTCATTCTAGAACTCTGCCAGCCTTGGTCCATGAATTACTTGGGCACTGCAGAAATAATAGCATGATTCAGAGAAAAAGGACTGTTTGGGGAGATGTCAAAATACATTGACTTCTCCCCATCTAACGTGTTTTGTGCTTTTGAAGAAACTTTTTCTTGGGATTTTTTTTAAAAAAGATTTATTTATTTACTTGAAAGTCAGAGTTACACATAGAGAGAAGGAGAGGCAGAGAGAGAGAGAGAGAGAGAGAGAGAGAGAGAGAGAGAGATCTTCCATCCACATCCCAATTGCCCTCAGCAGCCAGAGCTGAGCCGATCCGGAACCAGGAGCCTCTTCCGGATCTCCCACGTGGGTGCAGGGGCCCAAGGACTTGGGCCATCTTCTCCTGCTTTCCCAGGATAGCAGAGAGCTGTATTAGAAGTGGAGCAGCTGGGTCTTGAACTGGTGCCTATATGGGATGTCAGCACTGCAGGCAGTGGCTTTACCCGCCACACCACAGCTCCGGTCCCTTTCTTAGGATTTAAATCCCATGTTTTTGCACATTGGTCTTAATTCAGAAATGCTTTTAGTAGAAGGGTTCACTATAGTGACATGATTTAAGTAACATGTTCTCACCACCCCTTCAAAATCAGGCTTTGGACACCAAGTTAATATAAAACAAGTAATCAATCTTTAACAGACAATTTGGCATACAAATAGCAAGGTGTATAGTACTCAGCTGTGGTTAAATTTTCTCCAAAAAAAATGCCATTCTAAGTGATGCCCCTCATCTCTGTTATGTCTTTCCCTATTTCCCTCCCTCTCTTTCTTTCTTCTTTTCTCTTTTTTTGACTATGATCAATAATCCTATGCTTAAATATATATAGCTATTTTTGTATATATATATATTTGTTATATAGCTATTTGCATGTTCTTTTAACATAGGGAAATTTAAACAATTTTATTTGTACAAATCTACTGATGTTTCCTTTGATGTTTTGATCCTTTTTGAGACTTGAATTGGACCTGTGAAGGCAATTTCTGAGTTTTGACTGTAACTTGCTCCTTGCCCTTGGCAACCTTGAAAGACCCTGAGATGTTCGACTGTTCCATTTTCTTGGGAGCAGCCAGCACTCATCTCCTAGGGCTGCCAGTCATCACCTGGCTGCACTGGCTCCACGGCTGAACCATAGATTTCTCAGAATTTCTCAGGCAAGCCTGGGTCAATCGACATCTCTTTTTTATTGTTGTTGTTACCATTATTATAATTATTATTAGAAAGGCAGGAAGACAAACCAACACAGATCTTCTACCAGCTGGTTCACTCTCCACATACCTGCAGTAGCCAGGACTGTGCCAGGCCAAAGCCAGGAGTCTAGAACTCAGTCCAGGTCTCCCATGTGGATAGCAGGGATCCAGCCATTTGAGCCCTCACAGCTGCTTCCCAGGGTGTGCACTGGCGGGAAGTTGGAACAAGAAACGGAGCCAGAACTCAAGCCCAGACACTATAATGGGCCATGTAGGTGTCCAATGCAGTGTCTTAACCACCACACCAGAATGTCTTTCTCTCCATTTATATTCTCTCCTCCCCTTTAAAACCATCCTGTGGTCTTCAGACTGGAGCCAGAACCTGTACCTCATATTAGCTTTGATTTCTTCTAGATGCACGATTGCTTCTGTTGCTGCCACATGGCTTCATCTTTACTTTCTTGAATAATTTCCTCAAGTAAGGAAACAGATGCAGATAATCTTATAGCCAGGTAGAGAACTGAAATACTTTGGGGAAAGCAATTAACTTCTTCATGATTTAAAAGTATCAGAATAGCAGCACTCACTCAGATGAAGTGGGGTCTAAGTGGGGAGGGAGGTTGATCAAGGCCTTCACTGCATTCTTCTGGAACTAAACTGGTTTTCTGGTTTTACTTAGTTCTCTTCCAAGTTCAACCTTGTGGCAAATGTTGAAATTACCAAAGAGTGACATGTTGTTGTTCCCTTTTAGGTTAAGGAAGAAATGAAAATCCTAACTCAAGAGAAAGGTGTTAATTCTTTTAAGATGTTTATGGCCTATAAAGACCTGTACATGGTGGGAGACGTGGAGCTGTATGCGGCCTTCTCACGGTGCAAGGAAATTGGAGCCATTGCTCAGGTCCATGCAGAGAACGGAGACTTAATTGCAGAGGTAAGGGCCCAGCATTGTGGCATAGCAGGTAAAGCCACCGTCTGTGATGCCAGGATCCCATATGGGTGCCAGTTTGTATCCTGGCTGCTCCATTTCTGATCCAGCTCCCTTCTAATTGCCTGGGAAAAGCAGTAGATGATGGCCCTAGTACATAGTTTCCTGACATCCATGCGGGAGACCCAGATGATGCTCTCAGCTTCAGGCTGGCTCAGCCCTGGCCATTGCAGCCATCTGGGGAGTAACCAACAGATGGAAGATTCTCTCTCTCTCTCTCTCTTCAGGTGGCATCGTGTGCACTGGAATGAGGATTTCCCTGTTTCACACCAGCTCCCTCTGTTAGATGACAAACTTGTCTGGTCACAACAACCCACTGATACTTTCCTTTGTGTCCCCCAGCACGGTTGCATGCTTTGCTTTTTTAGTGGCTCCCGCTGTTGCTATAGAAATGCCTCAGCGTCGGCCAGCGCCATGGCTCACTAGGCTAATCCTCCGCCTTGCGGCGCTGGCACACCGGGTTCTAGTCCCGGTCGGGGCGCCGGGTTCCGGTCCTGGTTGCCCCTCTTCCAGGCCAGCTCTCTGCTGTGGCCCGGGAGTGCAGTGGAGGATGGCCCAAGTGCTTGGGCCCTGCACCCCATGGGAGACCAGGAGAAGCACCGCAGTGCGCCGGCCGCGGCGGCCATTGGAGGGTGAACCAACGGCAAAGGAAGACCTTTCTCTCTGTTTCTCTCTCTCTCACTGTCCACTCTGCCTGTCATAAAAAAAAAAAAAAAAAAAAGAAATGCCTCAGTGTGGACAGCACCAGTGTGGTCTGATTAGATAGATTTTCAGAGCCGAAGCTTTCCGAATCCTGGGTATTAAGATGTGCTCTGGAGGAATCTAGATGATATTTATTTCTCATGTTCATTCCATTATTAATGCCCAAAGGGGACTCCAGCTGCAAGATTTAAGCAGCTGTCTCTTATCCTTCATAGGAGCTGCTTTTTTTTTTTCCTTTCTCAAGGCTCAGCTCCCATTAAAGAAAGTCAGGTTGAAATGCAGTTGCCAGAAGGCAGAGAGGAATAATGAGATGAGAGCATTGGCTGTCAAATCAAAAAGGTGGCATTTATATTTACTTTTTAATTTTCAAATCAACTTATTTATTTGAAAATGGAGGTGGGGAGAGAGAAAGAGATCTTCCATCTGCTGATTCACTCCCCAAATACCCACAACAGCCAGGGTTGGGTCAGGCTGAAGTCAGGAACCTGGAACTCAGACTTGGGTCCTCCTTGTGAGTATCAGGGGCCCAACTACTTGAGCCATCACCTGCTGTTTCTCAGGGTCCCCAGCAGCAGGAAGTTGGAATCGGGAGTGGAGCTCGGACTCAAACCCAGGCACTCCAATATGAGATGCACCGAGCCCAGAAGCGTCTTAATTCCTATGCCCAATGTCTGCCCCAGACACGAGTTTAAATTTGACTCTTCCTCTGCCTAAATGTGTGACACTGGGAAAGTCACTTCACTGCTTCCAGTCTTGATTTCCTGCCTGTTTTTCTAAGATAAAAAGGAGTTTGAAGAGGGGACTGGTGCCTATCTTCATATTCTCACCTTTTCTTTTTAATTTAGTTAATTTATTTTCACTTCATTTGAAAGAGACGGAGATAGACACAAAGAGATCTTCCACTCAATGGGTTCACATCCCAAATGCCTACAACAGTCAGGGCTGGGGCAGGCTGAATCCAAGAACCCATAACTTGATCCAGGCTTCCCACATGGATGGCAGGAATCCCAGCATACCTGAGCCGTCACCTGCTGCTTCCCAGGGTACACACAAGTAGGAAGCTGGAGCTGGCAGTAGAGCCCGGACTCAAACCCAGGCACTCTAATATGGGATGTGAATGTTCCTAGTTGGCATCTTAACCACTGCCCCAAACGCCTGCCCCCTTTGTCACCTGTTCAATTAGAAGAACTCGATAGTGAAATGTGCATACGGAAAATGAACATATACTATCAGAATGTTAAATTATTTTTACTCCACACACCCTGTATACACACATATACATACACCCTAAAAGCCTGACAGTGCATTTAACTTACAATAAAATAAGGTGTTTGTCATCAGTAAACCTCCTTGCTGTCTGTTTCTGTTCCTGATGTCTTTTTAGGGAGCAAAGAAGATGCTGGCTTTGGGAATAACAGGCCCTGAAGGCCACGAGCTGTGCCGCCCAGAGGCAGTGGAGGCAGAGGCCACGCTGAGAGCCATCACCATTGCCAATGCTGTGAATTGCCCCCTGTACATCGTGCATGTGATGAGCAAGTCTGCAGCCAAGGTCATAGCCGATGCAAGGAGAGATGGTAAATCCCGACTGTAGCCCCCTTCTAATGCAGCGTTAGCTAAAGAGTCAGGTAAAATACATGTCACCTCTGCCTCTGCGAAAGTTGCATGTGGTTTCCATTGCTTTTCCACCTCCCTCTTTAGAAGCATCCTGTTTGTCCATCCCTATGCTCTTCTTCATGGCTGCCCCTCTTTATTCAGGTTCTTTATTCTGCATCCCTGGAATTTCAAGCCATTTCCTTAAGCCATATGTCCACACCCTCAACATCACTACCAGCCACATTTGAATCTAACAGTTAAATGCAAAGCTCTCTGATTAATAGCAAGTTTCCCTATATCTTAGACACCCTCACTTATCCTCCAATACCTGAATCTGGGCAGTACAGGACACCAGTAGATGCTGAACACATTTCTCTTGAATGTAGTTGATTTGTCTGCCAGCAGTTTGTGCACATTGGAGTAATTGAAACAATTATTCACATATTATCTTTTTTTTTATTTTTTTGACAGGCAGAGTGGACAGTGAGAGAGAGAGACAGAGAGAAAGGTCTTCCTTTTTGCCGTTGGTTCACCCTCCAATGGCCACTGCAGCCCGCGCATTGCGGCCGGCACACCACGCTGATCCGATGGCAGGAGCCAGGTACTTATCCTGGCCTCCCATGGGGTACAGGGCCCAAGCACTTGGGCCATCCTCCACTGCACTCCCTGGCCACAGCGGAGAGCTGGCCTGGAAGAGGGGCAACCGGGACAGAATCTGGCGCCCCGACCGGCACTAGAACCCCGTATGCCGGTGCTGCAAGGCGGAGGATTAGCCTATTGAGCCGCGGCGCTGGCCTCACATATTATCTTATGATGATTATCTTAAGACATTAAATTTACCCCCAAATTGCCCAGTTGCCTCAGTTTTCCAGTTCAACAGCGTATGTAAATTGGCATCTTAAAAGAAAGAAATAATCTCATATGTTTGATAAGAATTGAGAAGGGAAATAATTTTTGTTAATTTGCCAGGACTGATCGAAGAAGGGTGGAAAGCAAATAAGGTACATTTTATTCAATGACAGACTCATAGGAGCTTCTATTATCTCACCTGTAGGAGCACAGATGATGAGAAACAGTATTGTAAATCGCCATCTTGACTAATTTTGTTTATTTTACTGAAACTAACTGCATTTATAGAGCACAGTATAAAAGCTACAAAAATGAATTTGGCAAGTCTATAACTGATGATGACATAGATTTTGTCAAAATTGCTCCTTGCTGATGAAGGTTCAATAAGGATTTTGTGCAAGTTCTATGCATTTTAAAAATGTGATCTAGAATATTCTGTGTTGTTGAGTCAGCTCAGTTTCATAGGAGTTATTAAGATCTTACTATCAACTGATGTTACTATCAACCATTTCTCATTGCTCCCCTGTGCCTCCACACACAGCAGAGATGCAGTACACATGGAAGAACCTTAAAGGAATAGCTCTGTGCTGCCATTTTAGTGATAGTATTAAATTTTCCCCACCAGATGGTGCTGTTGCCAACTCTATGGAATCCATTGCTCTGTAATTTGTTTTCTGCATTAAGTTGTATGCCATGATCACAATGTTAGAAAATGATTTAAAGGACAGTAAAATTGGCAGAAATGGCCAATCTGAACCCAATGGCAAGCTATCATTTTTAGTGTCTGTCAGGAAGCAGTTTCTTGATCTCGGGCATTGATTCTACATTGGGTAGAATCCCTTCAGAAACAGAGCAGAGCTCTAAGAAGGTTTCAGAATACATATCATGGCAGTAAACTATACAAGCATTTCAGTTTTATTTTAAGCTATATGAGGATTTTTAGTTTCATTTGTTGAATATGTAAAACGTTTACATGATCCAAAAGTCAAAATTATACATTAAAAGTATATATTCTCCCTTGTTGCCAGAGCCTTCAGGCACATAGCCTTTAGGCCACCCGCTCCCTGCTTTCCTGCCTGCCTGCTTGCTGTAAGTGGCTCAGTCCTGGCCTACTCTCTGCTTGGTATGGACCCAACGTAGCCTCTAGACCTCGTTTTCTCCCCTAAAGAAAGCCCGCACTCTCCTGTGCATTTCTGTAACTGAATACAAGCTTAAAAACTTTTAAAAAAGCATATATTCTCAGGTAAGTCTTACTTTCTTTAACACTTTCTTCCCACACTGTAAGTAACTGTTTTTATTCATTTATTTCTGGCCTACTTCTCTTTACAAAACAATAAGTGTATATAAATATTTATTATTTGTAATATGTTATTTAGAATAAAAAAATGTATAAATACTATTTATAATTATATGGGTATATATTATTTCCCTCTTCCTTATACAAAAGGCAGTATACTATACACAGTGTCTGACATCTTGCTTCTTTTTCTTTGCCTTTGAAAATGTCTCAAAGGTCATCTCACATAAAATAGATTTTAGTCCTTCCCTTTCATAAGCAAAAACAATGTGCCAGTGTATTCATTCAACAAGTCCCTTATTGGTGGACATTTTGTTTTTTTCCAATCTTTAGCAACAGCCTCATGCATATGCTACCTCATATTTGTTGAGGGCATATTGGTTTTCTATGGTTACTGCAATGAATTGCCACAGCTTCAAGACTTAAAACAACATGCATCGTTTTACCGTTCCAGATGTTAGAAGTCTGAAATAGGTCCCACTGGGCTAAAATCAAGATGTCAGCAAAGCCGTGTTCCTTTCTGGAGGCTCCAGGGCAGGACTCTTTTCCTACCTTTTCTAGCCTCTAGAGGCTGGCGACATTCCTGGGCTCACGGCCCCTTCCTCCAACCTCAAAGCCCACGTGGTGGGCTGCACCCTTCTCGCATCTCACTTTTCTGACGGTCTCTCCTGCCTCCTTCTTCTTCTCTAAGGATCCTTGGGTTATACTGAGCCCTCCTGACAAATTCAGAATAATATTCCCATCTCAAGGTATATTAATTTAATGCAATTGTATAGTTCCTTTTCTGTTTAAGATAAACAATTCGCAGGTGATGGGGATTAAGAGGTAGACATCTTTGGGATACTTTTGTTCTGCCTTGCACGACGGCTGTCTTCAGAGTAGATGCCTAGAAGTTAGACTGCTGGTTTAACAGAGGGATGCATATGTAATTTTTTTGTCTAATGCTAAGTTTCTTCCCAAAAGTATTATAAATATGAAATATTTAAAATATCACTCCAAATGACTTTCATGGAAAGTTCATCCACCCTGACAGCACTCATTTATTATCTAACATGATTTCTGAACATGAAAAAGCAAAGACCTGTTGTCATCTTTTTTGAATAGGGAGTAATTCTTTCCACCTTACAGATTTATAATGTGAGAGTTTCTTGTCTGTAAATACCTTTGCCGGTATGTTCTATCTATCTTCTGGGGCTTTGACACCCACAGTATGGTCCCTAGAATGCAGCATTGGCATTCTGGGAGCTTGTTCGACATGCAAAGCCTTGGACCACATCCCAGACCTGCTGAATCATAATATGCACTTATAACTAGAGTCTGGGTAATTTGTATGTATATTAAAGTCAGAATCACTGCTCCAGGAGGCACAAAGAACATCCAATTATTGATTACCTCCATTGTGGTGACCTAGATATACAATTGGACAATTTGATATTATTGTCCAGTTGCCAACTGTATACTCAGAAGAGAAGCATCCTGATTATAGCAACTAACATTGTTGAGTGCTTAATATATGCATAGCATATGGTAATATTTAATATATTTTAATCTCATTTTGGGCTTTTCTAAACATGATCACATCAATGTATTTTAATAGACATCTTCCTTTTTTATTTCCCCAAAAACCTTTTATTTAAGGAATACAAACTTGATGCATTTCATAACTACAACATGAAGAGCATAGTGATTCTTCCCACTGTACCCACTCTCCCACCCACACTAGCACCCCTCTTCCTCCTCCCTCTCCTATACCCATTCTTATTTTTTACTAAGATCTATTTTGAATTAACTTTATACATATATGATTAACTCTATACTAAATAGAGAGTACAATAAATAGTATGAATAAAAAGAACTGTTCCTCAACAGTCGAGACAAGGGCTGTTCAAAGTCATTGCATTTCAAGGTATCGATTTCACTTCTATAGATTACTTTTCAGTTGCTCTATTAGTTATCACAGATCAGGGACAACGTATGCTATTTGTCATTTTTGGACAGGCTTATTTCACGAAGTATGTTGTTTTCCAGTTTCATCCATTTTGTTGCAAACAACAGGATTTCTTTTTTTTTTTTTTTTAAACTGTGTAGTATTCCATGGTGTACATACAGTTTTTAGTTGACAGGCATTTGGGTTGATTCCATATCTTAGCTATTGTGAATCAAGCTGCAATAAACATGGAGGTACAGATCACCCTTTCATATGCTGATTTCATTCCTCGGGTAAATTCTGAAGAGTGGGATGGCTGGGTCATATGGTAGATTTATATGCATGTTTCTGAGTTATCTCCATACTGTCTTCCACAGTGGTTGTACCAATTTACATTCCCACCAACAGTGGATTAGGGTATCTTTCTCCCCACATCCTCACCTGCATTTGTTGTTTGTTGATTTCTGTATGAAAGCCATTCTAATGAAGGTGAGGTGAACCTCATTGTGGTTTTGATTTGCGTTTCCCTGACAGCTGGTGATCCTGAGCATTTTTTCATGTGTCTGTTGGCCATTTGGATATCCTCTTTTGAAAAATGCCTGTGTAAGTCCTTTGCCCATTTCTTAACTAGATTGTTTTGTTGTTGTTGAGTATCTTATTATTATTATTATATAGTCAGGTTATTAATCCTTTATCAGTTTGCAAATAATTTCCCCAATTCCATCAGTTGCCTCTTCACTTTGCTGAGTGTTTCTTTTGCAGTTCAGAAGCTTCCCAATTTGTTGTAGTCCCATTTGTCAATTTTGGTTTTGATTGCCTATGCCTCAGAGGTCTTTTCCAAGAACTCTTTGCCTATGCCACTGTCTTGCAGGGTTTCCCCAATGTTCTCTAATAATTTGGGTCATAGA